TATGTGGTGGCCGTGGGGTAAATTTGACCTAACTCTGAGCGCTTCTAGCTGCCTCTAGCCTGCGTTTCCTGAGGGGCTTCCCAGACCACTCGCTACAATGAATTCATTTGGTGCAAAAAATCGTCCGTTTCCGAAACTCTCCAAAAAGGGGAGAATTCTAAACAAAATCAGATGGGAATTGTCCTATCGAGCTTGCGACGGAATGAGGTACGAACGGGACCATTCTCTACATTTGCACTAAATCGTACTAGATTTTCTTGCACATGACTTGAAAAGCACCATTTAAAAGCACGGTTTAAATTTCACTGAAGAGCAGGAAGATTGCTCTACAAAACCCCGAGACCACATCCAACAGATGGAACACACAATGAGGACCATTTGATTGGTAAAACGCGTACCACCTCTTTTATCTTAAAATTAATACTAGCTTGGCCAGAAAATAATTTCTTTAAGCATGTGCGGTACCTATTTTCCGCATTTATTCGTCTTCCGAGCTCGTAGGAAATTTTCGAGCTGGTATGTGTGCAATTAAACTTTCTAGCCAGCTTTCGTGTCGTTTGAGTTGAATCCTTCTCGACTATCTCCCTTAATTCACGGTCATCGCGCGAGACGTCTTCTAAAATCTCGTTTCCATTCCGAAAACATTTAAACCAATTCTGGATCTGCCGGTCCCTTACGAACACCTCCCCAGAAGCAGTGCACAAAGTTCGATGGGTTTCTGCTACACTTTTTACTTGTTTGAAATCGTGCAAAGCAAAGCCCAGATTTTTGGTCGCGAACCTTTTAAAGTTTATAAAATTCTGAAATGGATACCCATTGAGATGAAGCTACATCCTACTACTCACCGTGAGGTGCTCTTTCATGTAGTACCATACTTGCTAATAAAACTTCAACAGAGAACTCGTGAGAAACGTGTAAACTTAACCGAAATTATTTTTTTGGCCAACCTAATAGATTGTTCGCTTATCTTTGCGTGTGCTACAATTATATAAGAACTACCTTATCTGTACTTATAAATTACTCAAGAAACCTACCATTTTTTTCAGATGCAAAAAAATCCGCGGAGATAGCAAAATGAAGCTTTCGATACATTTAGAAATTTTGACATAAAATAAATGAACTAATTGTTGTTTGATGTGTTGGGAATTTCCATGCAAGACAGATTTCTTAAGAAAAATCATTTTTAGGTGATGACTCCTCGATAAAAAATTCTATAAAAGAAGATTTTTACCAGCAGGGAAAAATTCTCTTCTTCCAGTTAGATCTGTTTTTAGACGCAGAGTCTCCGCACCTGTCTCAAATCTACGATTTTTTATCTCAAAGCTAAAAACAAAAGTCAGAGAGATCGCTCAGCTCCGACTGCGACGAAGAACTCCATCGTTGAAGAACACTCCACCGTCGCTGTTGCAGTATTTCGGACAGATACCAGGTTCGCCTGCTGGTGCATCCATACCTGGCTCTCCAGGTGGTCCCTTGTTTCCATCCTGTCCACGCTGCCCATTCTGCCCTGGTGGTCCTTTTCGTCCTGGGGATCCTTTAAAATATGGATTTTTAATCTGCAGTAGGATTAATTTCAAAGTACTCACCCGGTTTTCCGTTTGCTCCCGGTTGTCCAGGCGGTCCCATTGGCCCGGGTGAACCTGGAGGCCCTTTAGGTCCGGGGCTAGGAAGACTGATAGGAGCGACTATTGCCGGACGACCTGGTTGTCCCATAGGTCCTGGCTTTCCATTACTTCCCGGTGGTCCACGAGGTCCTTTTGGCCCCGCTTCACCCGGTGATCCATCTCTACCCTTGGGCCCAGGGCCACCAAGTTGTCCAGCGTCCCCGGGAGGGCCTGGCATACCAGGCGTTCCTGACATTCCTCTAGGACATGGTTTACATGGTGGTGGTGTGATATTGGTACATGGTTTTTGCGGTGGACGGCCAGGATTTCCTGGTGCTCCTGGCACACCGGGTTTGCCAGGGCGCCCTGGGCGTCCAGGCGCTCCCGGCACCCCGGCAGGGCTGGGAAGGCAGCATCCTTGGCAGTTGTCGGTTTTGTCATAGTTGGTTTCATCTTCGCTTTCATAGCCGCTCGCTTCAATTTTGTAAGTCTCAGCTGTCTGACGGGCAGTACGATTTCTATATGGGAAGGGTTTGTCGGGAATGCGATTTACGCTCGACCATACTTGTTTTATGGAGTTCTAAGAAGAAACTGGTAATAAGCATGAATATGAACAAGAAGAAGTTTTACTTACTTTGCACTCATTCATCTGCAAATTAGCCTTAACTCGAACCTGAGCTGCATAGTTGTAGACCACTGGTAAAGTAACGCTTGTTGAGAGTATAGCCAAAGCCGAAAATGTTATCGCTGTTAAGCCAACTAAACGATAAGCCTAGAAAGTGTACATTATCCACAAAAAGTTGATTTAATAGTTAAAAAGCATCACTCACCTTAATCTTCGCGTCGATATCCATAGTCGACCTCAAAATCAGGTGAAATGACGAATTCGCGGCCTTATATAGGGTTAGGTAGTGTTTTTAGCGATGTTTTCAATGTCAATGTCATGGTCAATGGCTCTCCTTACTATACAGGCTATTTCGACGCTAATTACATTATCCTTAACCTACTCTTCGATAACTTTACACATGGCTCTACAGAAGAAATTAGATCAGAGGGACTTGATGGGTCTTAATTCCATTTATAATCATGAACAGATAGGGCAAACTGTTTGTTGGAGAAAAGAAAAGAAACTTTCTTTGAAAGGGGAAAATTTAAGATTTACAATCTCTCCAAGCACAATAATGGTTACACTTAAACTTCCTCAAGACCACTTCTATCTCGTACAAGACCCTATTCCAGACCCTGACAATCTCAACGTCCCAATTTTTAAGATTTACGCATCA